CGATCCCACAACGGAGGCGGAAAATATCCGTGTTTCTCCGGCGAAACTTTACATCTGTTCATCAGACTGCAAATTTTAACGCTATTTTGTACAAAAAAATACCATAGTGTTCTATGGTTCAGAGCCAAGTACCATTTAAAAAGTGGTTATCCCATTTGTATCCCCCTCCCTGAGTTCTTGTTAGACGGTGCACGTGAACGCGTCGTAGCCGAGAGTAGGCTCCTTACCGAGCGTTTCCGTGTTTTTGCAAGGCGGCCTTTATTGCCTAATTAAATGCAATGATTCCCGCGCAGAGGCGGGCGCGCATAAAGCGTCGCTCCCCCGTTGGAAAATAAATCACGCGAAAGCAGAAGTACTTATAGGTTCGTAAATCAGTCGGTGACGCTTTTCTAACCGTTGTCCTCGCAGCGTTTTCGCGCTTTTTCGCGCCGCGTACACGGTCGCGCGTTTGCGTGCGTTCTCGCGCAGTGGAGCTCGCTTTGATCCAGCAATCCGATGGAACGCGAAACACGTGGTAACAGGAAGAAGGCGTCCCGCAAGTTCATGGAGATATTTACGCGCTGTCCGCGCACTCGTAAACGTCACCGCGGTGTCTCGCATCTCGTTTTTCTCGCGCGAACACCGTTGACGCGACGCCACCGCGCGGCCCGTTAGCCTTTAATGATGAATAATTAATTTGAGGCTCGTTAAGCGACGCGCGACGTCCACCGGCGTACGCGTCGCAACTTTTCGCGTAATTAATAATCAACCTTACGGAACATTGATTTCGCGATTAAATTTCGTTCCGAGCGTGTTTCGCTTTTAGTTACGATCTCCGGCTGTTGTTATTCAACGGTCTCGAGAAAAAAGGTTCGAAATTTTAGTCGGGTATATATTCAAATTTGCTGGCACCAGCGTTAATTAACAAATTGATGTTTCATCTATACAGCGGTAATTAGAACATATCGTTTCGATGAAGTAAAATTTCCCGAGAATGTAGAATTATTGGCATCGAATGATAAATCAAATTATTAGAAATGTGAGTATCCATCTTTCGATCGTGATATTATTTCCTGTGTATTTAGAAACCGCGGTTACTGGCCCCGCATCGTTTTTTGATCGTTGCGTCGTGACCGAAACATTTCTTTGTTTCCGCGTGATTCGACACAGCGGCACTGGTGCCGGCCGATGGTTATTTCCATGAATCGGATAGCGAATTCTCGATCTTTGGTACGAAGGGTACTAGTTTCCTCGGGGAAACCACTGATTTGTGGCTGTTGCAAATCGATGTTGCCTTAATACTCGGAGCTATAAAGCGCCACGAAACGGAGCTACCGGGAGGATAATAGGAACCTCCGGTGGTTTTCAAAAACGAGCTTCGCGGCGTGTACACCAGCAATTTAATAACGGTACCGAGGCCGTGTTAAAGTGTAACGGTTTATGAAATCTACAACGACGGAAATTAAGAGTTTCGGCGCAACGCGCCGCGGTTTAATCTCGAGGCCACGTATCGTTAACGCTCGACTTGCCAAAATCATCGTTCTCGCCTATTTGGTAATTTATTCGTGCGTGCCCCCGTTTCGCGGAAGAGCATCGGGTACATATATCGTAGAATGTATAACGTACGAGACAAATAACGGCAAGGAATATTTCGTGACAGATGGGTTTAGCGTGATGACAAATGGTCCGAGGTTGCACGTATCGAGAATTCCGGCAAAACGTGTCACCGCTTGGTACTTGGCCAACTTGCCATTCATTAAGTTTACTCATGCTTGCTAGTGTACGTGACTCGCTGCGCGGAATAATTGGAGTCGCGTTAAAGTGACAGTTGCGAAGGTTTCGCGGCGCTGGTTTTCCAACTTCCCAGAAGGTAGCTCGTAAAACGTCGGCTAGGTCTCATTGGCCATAGGTTTTTGACACGTGACGCAACGCTGCCCGAGGAAAAAGTAACGACCGAACGAACGTAGCGTGTAGCTACTTAAAAGTACGTTTTTTTTTCCTGTAGAAACGAGTTATGTATACACGGAAAGAGTAACACATTTTTTTTTCGATTCACTGTTCGTCGAAATAATCGTAGCATAACATTTACGCGTTTACGGTTTTGTGTGTTTGCATTCAATACATGTCGTTAATTATTCGCGTATGAAACGCAAAAAACTTTTTGTCCAAACGAGTGTCGTTTATCCACGCGCTGGAACATCAAAAGCAACGCGGAAACTCGTTTCATAAATATCCCGGCCGATACGAGCGCGCGTAATCATCTTTGAAATATCGATAATATCGGTACTGTTATCGTGAAATATTAGGTACAATTTAATACTTTGTCAGCACGTTGGAGTCGAGGGAGAATTAACGACGCGGCCGGACAAAAATATGATAGGGCGTGTTACGCGTGCGTGCAAACAAGTAGAATACGAAACCGTGAGTGCTAGATAACTAAACAGAAATACTTATTGCCCGGACCGTTCCGTGCCTTCCTGAACCCGATAGAATCGTCTAGCCGCGGTCGAGAGAGTTCAATAATCTGCCGCGGCAGATCTTCTGTCAGGCATTGAAGTCTCCAGCGGCGCTGCAGCATCTACCGCCGCGCCGTGCTTTCTCCGTCGTCGTTTCGCGTAAAAACACGGCGATTTCTTCCAATTCTTCGATAAATCAACTATCAAACGGGTAATATTCAACGGGTGCGCCTATTATCGAATTAGAAACCTCAAACTTTGCGTATCGCGTTGACGAGACGTTTACGACGTTTTCCCATGAATATTACGTCTTTTTAACGCGCGCGACACGCCCAAGCAACCGGAGCAATCGTTTTTAATACATTTCGCCGGTGGTTGCGGAGACTTCACCCCTCCCGTCGAAAACACAACGAGGCAGTAAACGTCAGTATCCGTGCTTTAGCCCGGGAGAACAATACGCCTTCCGCGTACTCCGCGAAAACAGATTTATGATAATCAAAGATCCACTGGTTTTCATGGTTCGCTGACAGCTTTCCTCCGTCCCTTTCTCCCTCGATTTTTTTCCCACCTTCTTTTTTATGCCCCTCCCTCGAAGCGAATTTCGATTTTCCAATAAGCGGGCAAGATTTACAGCCACCGAGAGCACGGGGCTCGTACTCCGTCTTTTCTCCCGGTTTCTCCTTTTTTGCTCGCTATACGCGTTACTTCCTTTTCGATTTTTTTCTGCGCGAGACGTGTTTTTTACTGCCCTCCGTACGTCCCACGAAGAAGACAGTCTGACAACGTCCTTCTCCTTCGCGAAATGGATTCTCACACGTACGGGCACGCACACGATGGACCGGCCACCTCGTCCCGGCTGTAAGTAATGCATGCGCGACTTCAAACCGATCGTCAAAGTCAGCCGGACGTCGGGGCCTTATACGAGAGGAGAATAGGGTGCCCGGATTTCGTTGTGCGATGCGCACGCACACTTTCGCGCAGGGGAACCTGAATACGTGGCACCGTTTCGGGCAGTGCACGTTGCGCGAGCACAAGTTGTGGAACTTTTCCCAAACTTCCGGAGACGCTTTTCAAAAATTAATTCAACGAGATTCCTCGTCGCTGTAACTTGGATTATACGTTTCGAACAACCCCGGTAATTTTCGTTGATTCGTCCAGCCTTCGAGAAAACATTTTACGTACCAGATACGACCCTTCTCGATTAATACTTCGGCCGGACCGTCGAGAGAATGATCGACGCGAGGCTACGGACGATCGAGAAAATTACGCGTCAAGCAGGTTTTTCGCGGTCGAAAAAAAACGCATCGAAGCTGATTAAAACGTTGACGCGACTCGCGATGTCGCGTCGCAGATTTACACGTCCACCGAGCGATAAAAAGTATCGCGAACTACGCAAATTGCCGCTTAACGAGCAAAAGAAATTGCCCCGGCTAACAAGCCCGCTGCGCAAGGACGACGCATCCTCGCGAAAGAACCGTAGAAGAAACGCAGCGAGATCCTCACGGTTGATCCGGGCGAATCTCGGTGATTTCAATGACAAATCCCAACGTGCGCCGGAGCGTGTCTCGTACCGCGAATTTCAGGTATCGTGACAAGCGTTTCGCGCGAACGTGATTTTTTGCCGCACGCTTCGCGGTCGAATCCCGCGACACGGAAGAGCAGAAAAATGCCGTGACAAATTAGATCAGCCGCATAATGCGGATTTAATTGGAGGTGTGGTGAATCGAGTCTGCCTCGCCTCGGTTTGCCGAGCGCCACTGATTTTGCTCGCTGTCCGTGCAGGAAACAACGAGATCGCTTATAGATTTTTTTCGCTGATAAACTAACGAGCCTCGTTACGCGCTCAGATTTACACGTCTCGCGCGAAACGATGGCGTCGCGTGGAATCTTCATTCATCGTGGATACTTGGCAATTTTCACCTCGTATTTACGGAAACTTTGTGCATTTTCCATCGACCTCCGATCGACAATTAAACGTGTATAGGAGCCGGAATTTCCACGACATTGGTCTCATTAACGGACGAGGACAAGGCGACTGACACGCGCGACGAGCGTGGCAACCAGTTAGACGAACTTGAACACACCCGACAAGAAATTGATCGCTCGTATTCCGCGCGCAATTTCCCGTGCCGCTGGCCGCGGGAAGTCGCGCAGTTTCTTCTCTTTTATCGTCGACGATTTGGACGACGACGTCGGAACGATCTCGACTCCGGGGCCATTCGCGAGATTATTATAGCGAGCGTGGCGTTGCCGATGGACCCTGTAATTTTGGCAGACGCGATACCGCTGGGGCGACGCGATAAAAGCTCCGACGGATACGGACGGAGGCTGGCCCGGCGTTGTTCAAAAGCGTCGACGCCGTGAGAAATCGATTCCCCGGCGACGACTTCAAAACGCTTTGGCACGCCTGCCAACGACCGCGTCGGTTTCGACGTCGCCGAACGCGAGACGAAAATCACGGTCGCGTCGCGCCGACCACGTGGCGTCGTTTTTCCAACCGCGGCCGGGAAAACCGCCAATGGAGGCAGAAAGAAAAAGGGAAACAACGGGACGCGCGATACTTACATGGAGTTGGTGGTGTTCCAGTATATGCTGATCGTCTTCGCGCAGTTGCTCACAGTGGAGAGTAGAACCGTTTGCAGGCAGACGAGGAACACCAAAGTCACAAAGGACGAGGAAACCATCGTAACAACGTGGACAACGACCAAACCACCGTCACCACGCTCACCGAGACTCAATAACAAACAACAACGAAGACAACAACAAGAACAACAACAACAACCGCACCTTTGTTGCTGTCGTCCACAACCACGTTCCACCACCGTTACACGGACACCACATCCACACTTCACTTTCCTCGTTAACGGTTCTTCCCGTTGCGTTTTTCTATATCTCGCGCGCAACAGCGAGTCGTGCACCGTGTATCCGTTTTTGTGCTCCGAACAGTGTTTATCCTCGTAACATTTCCAGGAACGTCGACGGTTCCGCGGAAGATCGGTGTTATCCAAATTGTCGTGTCCTCGACTGAAGAAGATCGGTGGGGACAGGATCGACCGTGCTCACGAATCGCGGAATTCTTTGATGGAATTTCTGCCGATCGCCGCGCGATTAGAACCAATCGAGTATCTCCGGTTTTCGGCTGCTTCGAACGGTGTCCAGCGAGGTACGCGTTCCATGGGTCCACCCCGTGTTTCTCTCACCTGGATCGCGTCTTGACAGCCCTCTCATTGGTCCAATTTTGACGGAATCCAGTCCAAACGACGAGCCGTCGACGAGAGACGCTTCTTAGACGGTCCAGTGGACTCGCGACGCATCGGAGGAACGATGTTCCGAGGATTCCGTGGTCGATGCTCGGCGCTCCGATTCAGGGCCAGGAAAGTATCCGACGGTATCACGCGAGCCACCGAGCGACCGTAAGCTTGCCGATCATTTCACCGACGATCGTCTCGGTAGATCGGTACACTGGAAAAAATTCCTAAACTCTCGCGATCGAACGTTTTGCACCACAGGGATCCTCCAAAATTATTCACCCCAAAAAGAAGGAAAAAAATGGTACGCGTCTATGGTACGGGAGCACCGGGTCTCCTCCGCTGCTATCCAGGCAGCCACCAAGAGGAAACGAGGAACAAGAAAATCCAAGAGTCGAAGACCGCACTGGATCCCACGAAGAGCACAAGAAACCTAGCGAGACGAGGTATCCTTCTCGCCTGGAGCACACCCCCGGTTTTACTTTCTCACGCACTTTGCGATTCGCACGGGTCGCGTAGCCAACGGAGCGACGACGCTATCCGCGTTAAAACGGATTCATCGAGGATCGGATGGCGCGTTTTAAAAAAAAACGGAACGAAAACCGCTCGTGTTTGTACCGTTCCGACGGAGCTGGTCGGCGCGCGTTGTCTCGGGATGAGAGCAGCGGATGATAGTCGTGCGAGAGCTACGTTCAAACGAGCCCCGTGAACGCAGAGTGAACGGAACCTCCTTGCTGGTCGGTGTCGCGGACGCGTCTGTCGGCCGAGCGCGCTGTCGCGGCCGTTCGTCTCGCGTCGGCAGACTCGAACGTCCTACGGGGGTGGCGGGGAGTGCCGAATGCAGGCGGAGACGCACGAACCCAGAGGACCCTCGTTCCCTCCGCGGCGCTGGTCGACGTGTCTCGCACCGCTCGCCGACTACGCGGTATTACGCCGCCTGCTCGCGAGACGCGAGTTTCCGAGTGGATCTCCCTTATCCGCGCGCTCCCGTCGGTGGATCGGGCCGCTCGAGAGTGTGCCGATACGAGACAAGTGCCACCAGCGACGCGAGATCGTGTCTTTCCCGCGGAATTGTCGCGCCGCGAAATCTCGACGACGCGTCCCTTTTCCAGTCGTCGTTACGCGGAGTTTTCGGTTGGCGTTTTTCCGGCTCGTAGCGTTTTTTGCCTCGAAGCCTCGCGGGGATAGTAAAACCTTTTTTCTTTTCAGACCAGTGGTTCGACGAGTTTTCGGGTGCGTGATATCGGAGCGTCTCGACGGGCAACGAGAGGCGTGAATTTCGGGTCGAGTTTCATCGCGGAATCATGAGGTGCGGGGAATTGGATTTTTTTTCTCCCCCCACCGAAAGCAATTTCGTGGCGTATTTTCGGGCTCGATTGAACATCGTTAAAACGAATTCGTATAATTACTCGGCATGGATAAGATAGGTGATTTTTTTTTTGGTCAAAACCTCGGTTATCGTTCGACACACTCGCTGTTTAATATGGCGTGATAAATATTCACGGTTCCTTCGGCGTTGCTTGAGAGTGAGAAGAATCGAAACGTTGCAGAATCGATCGACCGTTTCGGTCTTCCATTAACCGTTTAAGTGCCAAGGAGCGCGATCGCGTTCCTACGGTTTTCGTGCGAAGACCGCGATGGACCTTAGTTGCTCTTGGGTGAAAGTTTTGTTTCGAAATTTTTTATCGCGTGATCGCCTAGAGTCGATACATTTGGTAAAAAAAGAAATTGTAACAGAAAATCGTGCCAGAAGTGATTTGAAATTTTAAAATGTTAATAATTTTAATATTTTTACTATGAATATTCTAGTAATTTCATTACACGAATAGTATATCTTATGATCGTAGAAAGCATAATTCCGTGGTATGAAAATAAATTTACGTATTTCGATGTTGGCTGAACGTTGAAATCATCGTCCAAAATGTTGATGTACTTAAATTTATTCTCACATAACTAAAATTTGCTCTCCACAACCAAATAAGATACACTCTGCGTAATTTAATAATTTTACTCCAATTTCAGAGTAACTTTATGTGTATAAATTCCGTGATTTCATTTTGGAGTAAATGTTTGGAACAAATTATTTTGTATCTTTTGTGTCGACACCATGTATGGGAAATAATTTTACTTACTAAATGTTATAACAAAGTCAATAAAAATCCAAATCTTCCCGTCACTTGTAACAGATCTTCATCGTTCGATTCGCCTTCGATTTTGCAGAAATTATATTTAAAAAAAAAGCATTATTTTGAGTAAAAATAAAAAATACTCGATGAACTCAGACCTAAACCAAAAACGCGACTAAGTATCGAATATATTAAAAATAGTGAACGTCTATCGACTGTACGACGTTATCTTGACACTTTCCAAATAGATTTTCGCGACCACCTCTGGCACTCAAACGATTAACCCTTCAGGCACGACACGGTTTTCAAACTATTTTCGCAGTATTGCACGAACTGCTGTAACTTTTAAACGAAACATAATTTCCAGATACGAGTTTCACTACCATATTTAGCATTTTTACTTCAGTAATTTATCCTACATCTTGAACTCTGTATCCTAGTAATATCTTTATTCGTCGAAGCCATGGATAACGACTATTAGAATTTAGCTAAATTTCTAGAGAAACTTCGAAACACACGACACGTGTATAAATTACAGAGCCATTACAAGGCGATACATCAAATCACCAGTGTTAATACGTCGATTATTTTAGAGAAAATACGCTGAAAATTCCAGATACGTACTACACTGCCTTTGGACAATAACGTTTCGTTCGTAATCATAGGCATATAAGGAAGCTGTTCCTGGTACCGAGTCAGCCCCGAAGGGTTAACGTAATCGTTCCGTTCGCCATCCTCGATCTTGCGGGTCGCGGAACGCCATGGACGAAAGGCGACGTGAACGCGCGGAGACGGTGATCGAGTTAGGCGACAAGTTCGCGACAACGTTGATCCACTGTTTTCGTTTAATCAAAGGTCGTGGGGCAGGGTAGTTCGCGGATTGCCAGGCGTCAGAAAAGACAGTTTGACACTCATTAACAAAACCGAGCGTCGTGATAAATGGTCCCAGGGACCGCGGCCCGGCCGGAATTGCGAAACTCGCGTGGAATTTAATTTCCCGAGCGCGAACACCGGGCCTCGTAGAACATTGTTTCCATCGAGTTGGGGCACACTGATTACACAACCGTCCCTTAAGCCTCATTACCGTCGCTGAAAATTTCCATACGGCTCACGGCGCGCATAACCACGTCGGAGGAGGCGCGTCCGGATCACGATTCGCCTCGAGGCCCTAACCAGCTATGAATTAGACTCCCTCGTAGTTTTCTTTTCCCGTGGCAACGGGGCTTTTAAGAGACCGTGAGTGCTTTCTTGACTTACGATCGCCGGCTAGTCCTCGTTTCCTGTTTCAATTTCGGCACGCGCCCTCCCGTTTCTATTTCTCCGTCCCCGAGGTTTCACACGCAGTTTCGTTTTTCCATCGAACGCGCCTTTGATCCTGTCCCTATAAATATACGCGATGGACGATGCCTCGTTCCGTTCAACCTCGCTTCCCCGGTGTCGATCCCAAGAATCCGTCACGAATACACTTGTTTTACGCTGTTCAAACTGCATCATATCTTCATTAACAAATTTTACTTTCGATCAAACTGAAAGTCGTTGAAAATTTTAAATATGTAACAAAGCTGTCGTTTGAACCGATTAGCATAAATTGATATGAATAAAACCAGAAACAAGCCCCTCCAGAAATTATTTTCAGAGAGCTCCGACACTTCTGTGCTCCGTCCACTCGTCCGTGTTTCTTTCATAACGCGTTCCGTTGATAGTTTCACGAGCCGAACGTTTTCTAGGACTAACCACGCGAATAGAGTGCACCAACACGTTTCTCCAGGAAACCGTGTGCACTTGTGGAAAATTAGAGAGGCGGAGAGCAGAGAGAGCAAGGCAGAGGAGATGCAAGCGTGCGTATGCATTCCCCGCGAATGCAGGCAAGTACGTGGCGCCCTCTTCGCGAACAGAAACCTACGGTCGTCCTCCGTATTGCTCTCTCGTCTGCAACGATCTTCTCGAGGGCATGCTCCTCGGCTCTCTCGGATCTCGAAGAACCGGTATCTACCCACGGACAGTCATGTCGGTCATTAGTCCGACTAATGTAACGCTTCAAATTCTATCGGGCCACGGCGCCGGGACGTTGCATCCTCCCACTAGAAAGTCGATGAATCGTTAATAGAGGACGGGGAACACGCCCGATTCTAGCGATTCCATGGATTTCATCCAAAGCCTTCGCCTCTGAGCAGACCATGGACCACGGAACAATATATTTCTTTCTACTTTCAAAGCGAAGCAATTTTAAAAAATTTGTTAATCGAAAAATTAGTTTTTACATACTCTTTGTCTCGATAACTCAATGAATTTGAATAAAACGGTGACGGA